CTTTCTGAACTTTCTTTAGCTCACTTGTACTTAATAATTACTGCTTAGAACCATCACACAATATTCTTCTGTACTCTTTGGCTACAAAGTAAATTGTGCCATTACCTTATTAAAGAAATATGTCTACCTATTACGTACAAAAACTGGAACGAAATGCGATCTAACGAAAACAAGACTTGGGTTTTGTATTTTGAATTTACACTGCACTTTAGGCGAAGTAAACAAGCTTTCACTTTGTAAACCTTAAGGCTTAACTCGTGTGTCATTTGCAAATGACTTGCAAAGAAAAATCGATATATATTGAAACGACGGGAACCGATACATTTTTCACCCCAAAACTTACTTGTATCGTCAAAATTCAGTCATGGTGTACTTCTTTTGTTTTCTTTTCAAGTTCCACTCATATTGTACTCGAATTGTGAAGATAAATTAAAGGCAATGCAATATTCCGAGCGTATAAATATCTTGAAGACACTCTCGGCAAAGATCAACGAATGTTCCTTCGAATCTGTATCGCCCGCCAAAACCATATATGGAAGTTAGGTATGCTGTAAATGATTCATACATGACCGTATTAGGAAATCCACAAGATCCCGTATATGTTCCGACGGTACTGGAAGTCAGCGGTAATTCAACACCTTCATATATACATTTCTTTCCTTAAACGTAAAGATGTCCGACGAGGAGCGATGGTTTTGCTTCGAGTTCTCGTTCTATTTCTTAAGGTCCTCGTAAAAAAGGAGGTAAAATGACGCGGTCCTTAATTACATCCAGTATCTTTTACTGCCAAATGCAAAAATTCCACGAAAGACGTTAAAGAAATGACCAGAATGAAACTGTGCGACTTTGCCATTTCGCCCAGATCGGCCGATGATCTTCTTACGAAGGAAGTCGACTGAACAGCTAATGTGTGCCCTGTGTATCTAGAAACCTGTTATATACTTCACCACTGTGAAGAAATCTTTACATGATCTCAACTGTGTCCTTAATAGAAGAAAACTGATTTGATCTGAATAGTATTTTGAAGTTAAATTATACTTAAAGCATACTTTAAGTATACTTTTGTCTTGTAGTGATTTCAAGATCCGGACAAACCTTCTTAGATCCTCAGATCAGAATGTGTCTTTCAGTTTCAAAGTATACTTAAAGTACACTTTTCTTTGCGAAACTATTTTTCACAAGCACTGAAGTTTGAAGAAGTATACTTAAAGTATACTTAAGTATTTGAAGTATAAATGAAGTACATTTGCCAAATATACTTCATTTATACTTTTTTTCTGGAAGTACAAACGAGGTATACTTCAAATGTACTTTTTTTCTGAGAAGTACATATAAAGTATACTTGAAGTATACTTAAAGTATACTTAATTTCTACAAGGGTAAGGAAAAAGAATGTCAGTGTTATTGAAGAAATAATTTTTGCTTTAGGTTTTGTAAACATGGCAACAACCTCTAAGGAAACAGTGAATGATGACTAAGTAAAAGATTGTTACTTAAATCAGTGTAGCATAGAGAGAAACAGTTCCTCAATATGCAAGAGTGCTTGCTACATTGCATTTTTCTTTGAATTTTATTTTGGCTGTACAAATTGAAGAAATTGTAATTGAGCATAAATTGGCAAAGGATACCGGTACTTTAAGAGAGTGGTATTAAATTTGCACCCATCATACAGTCGACTCCTGATAACTTGAACCTTCAAGGGAAATCAAAAACAGTTCGAGTTATCGGGAGTTCGAAGCAAATAACCAGAAGTAAGGTAATGGGATGGGAAAGAAATGCAAATATCTTGTAACTTATTCTCACTTACCGTCAGTTGCAAACTTTATCGAAGTTTGGAGTAGGCAGCTGTTGTCAAATTGATTTGTTTTTGCCCAACAAAATATTCTTTGCAAAAGTTCTTAGGCATAAAGAATAATTTCTGGAGGAAAGTATGCTGTTTCTGAGTAATAAATATGCCTGAAAGTTGAGAAAAATGAAATATAAATAGAATGAGCTGGTCAAAAACATATAAACTACTTACCTTTGGTGCGACAGTTTGCTTTAACAGCTGTCAAACTTCAAATGTTTGGCAGAAAAACACATCATGTCTGGTACCCTTCTGTTAGAACATGCTTTTTTGTCTCGTGTCCACGCTTAGATGCAACCCATAGTAATGTTGTGATTTTCACAAAAGGACAGATGCCTGATACATTTAGTTTACTCGTCGTCTGCCCATAGTCCAACATCTGGACTTTTGTCTGATTGGTCAAAAAACAAAAGATCCTTCGGAGCCCTGCACCGACTTGTCAAGCAACATATCTGACTTCCGGAGCTATTGGATAGGTTTTGTCACTTTCGTCTCTTCATGACAGAAACCACAAGATGATCGAGGAATTCTTTTAACGGCAAGCTCAGGTTTTAAAGCTAGGTCTTAAAAGAAAAAAACCGTACTTCTTTTAATGAATCAAGTAAAGAATGAACAGAGAAAGACTTGACAGCTGAGATGAGGACGCGTTGTTACTTGTCACCAGTATGGATGTCAGCCATTTCTTCTTTGACGCTTTCTTGCTAGTACCAGGTAGAATTGTTTTCTTTGATTTCCGATCAAGTTCAACCGCATGAAAGTGTGTAAAAAAATAATATTATGACAATTTTAAACTTGCCTTTTTGCAAACAGATAAAAGACCATGAAAGATTTGTTGCCACAGAATCAATTCCTATACTTTTGACCACTTCCAGTAAATACAGAATTCTATTGCTCCACTACTGTTTTCATTGAATTATTAATTTGTTTGATGTGACGGTTTGAACGAAGGTATCACACGGCACCGATAAGGCAGATTCGCAATAACAACATCACTAACTTGGTCTTTAAAATCTGTGATGTTTTTGTTGACAACTACTGTATGAACTTAACTGCATTCACCGCTTGACTGGAAAGTAGATAAATAAATTTCAATAATAGCTGCATTTGTCGCAAACCACTTGAATTTCCGGTAAAATCTGACACGATAACACAATTGTTGACAGACACCTTAATTAGGGGGTGGCAGACGACTCGTAAAGTAAACGTATCAGGAGTTCTTTTTTTTCCCTTTCCCTAAAAAAAAAAAAACAAAAACAAAAAAACGCCCTACCACAGGTTTTTAGGGCCACCTTTAAATTTATGTTATCTAATTAATAATTACAATACTGACATCTGCAATTTAACTCTAAGTACACACAATTTTTTTGGAACATAGAAAATCATCATTAATTAGGATAAAAATAGAAAAGGCTGCACGTGTAAGTGCAAAAACGAGAAAGAAAAGGTGAGAAAAAATAATGCAAGAATAAAGGAGAAAAAAAAAAGTGAAAGAAGCGAAAAACTACACACTAGCATTAGGAGAGCTTAAGTGTGTTTATACCAAGAAAAAATGACTTAAGTTTAGAACTAAACAAAGCAGCATCATTCTGAATTTCAGAGCTAAGGGAAGTACATATTTTGGGCCCTTGAAAACGAAGTGAAAATTTCCTTACATTTGTTATGCAGTAGGGCAAACGGAAGGAGTTCTTACTTCTAGTGTTATGTGAATGTACATCACAGTTAAGCAAAAACATGTCATTGAAACTGGAAGAAGGTACATGTAACTTTACCTATTTGGAGTTTGATAATATCTTTAACTTTTAGAATTCGTAAGCTTCCAAAAATAGGATTGGCACGTGAATCAAAAGAACTTCTGGAAACTATTCTAATAACCCGTTTCTGATGTAAATAAGGATAAACTAAACTATAATAGAGAATACATAAAGAGGTCTTATTAAGGCAGAAACTTGATTTTTAAATAATGCCTACTGATTTTGAGACTTTTCTTGCTACGTTCTGTATTTGAGATTTCCAAAATAAGTGTTCATCCAGTATAACTCCCAAGAACAGAACTTCATTTACACAATCTGAATTTCAATATCGATCATTAATTGAAAAATGTAAGTCAAGTTTTTGCCTGTTTTGTTTTGTGTTAAATAGAATAAAATGTGATTTTTTTATGTTAATAGAAAGCTTATTAGCCTGAAACCAGCTTGATAGTTTCTTCAATTCGTTATTCACAATTTACATCAGTTGATCTGGGTCGTTATGAGGAAAAAATAATGTTGGTATCATCGGCAAAAAGTATGAAATCCATGGCCTTTGACACATTACACAAGTCATTAATGTATATAACAAAAACAATAATGAACCTAAAATCGATCCTTAAGACTAGGTAGGAATCTAAGGCCATTTTCACGTTGACAACATTTCACTACAACTTCCAGAATTCCTTTTATTTTTGCTTTCTTATTTAATTTTCTCTATCCCACAGAGGTTTAATAAACAATAGTCCTAATTTGCACAAGAAAACAACAAACTGAGGGATGCTGGTAGTTGTAGTGAAATGACGTCATCATGCAACTGACCTATTCATACTCATACTCATTTTTCGTGGACAATTCTGTCCAAAGGGGGGAAAGGTGCAATGAGGTTAACCCTGTGTGAAGTACCAACCCGTGAAACAAGGCCAGACCACTAGACTGGGAACTCCGTGCCATACTCTTTACGACAAGTGTGTGGGTTCTTTAACTTTTTAGTTGCAGGCTATATAACATTGAAGATGCAGGAGACGTGGCCTATGATTTATTGTCCCTATCCGAGAAGACAGGAACATCTTACCATTGCAGGTGTCATTGCAAAGGCAGCATGTTCTCCTGAGTGTTGGTCTGGTCTGGCGCTCGAACCGGAGACCTGCCACAAGGCAGTCCGGTGCTCTACCAACTGAGCTAACCAGTTGGTGGTGTTTCCTCTTGAATTTCACTGAGAGGGAAGTCAGTCTACATAGGTTCTTTTTGAGAGGAATGGCCCTTAGTGGATGCCTTTGCTAAGCAAACACACTTTCTGGTCCTAAGGGTGTATAGTTACAGGAGGTTTAACAGAACATATCTGTGAGAGGAAGAGATTTTTGTTAACAATCTTATCTTTCTAACATTGTGGAACTTTAATTCAATTTGTGATCTTACTTTTTGACACTTTAGGGAAATTGTTAATCGAGACACCATGGCACAGCACCAAGAGCTTAATAGGAAAAGGAGATAGTGCTCATAAGAATATGGCAGATGTTCCACCTTCACTCACCCTAGAACTTCCCAAGAAAAGTGATCTTCCTAACACATTCAAACCTTGGAAAGAAGTCCATCTTCCAATCGACATTCTTTTGTTGACAGTGGATGACTGTGAGTTCTTAGCCTGTTATGCATACTTAAGAAATGCCATTAAAAGCTACCACAAGAACCTTGGATATGTGTACTTTGGGAACATGGGTGAAAATGGAGATGTGCCCCTAAAAGTTGCTTTGATGACATGTTCTGAAGGCTCTTCTGCTCCAGATGGCCCGCTGCTCACTGTTAAGAATGCCGTGTTGGAACTGAGACCCAAAGCTGTTTTCTATGTTGGCTGCTGCGGTGGGTTGAACCCAGAAGTCACCAAGTTACAGCTAGGTGATGTGGTGGTATCCTCTAAGCTTACAACTGAATCATTCAAAACCCCAGTGAGTAGAGATATTTTGCGCCTCGTCAGGCCTGCAGATCATGGTTGGATTCCTCCATTAAGAAATCCAGAAGATTATAAAGTTCAGGTCTGCTGTAATGGGGAGATTTTAAGTGGCATAAACCCAGTCAGTGCTAAAGAGCAAAACGTGTCTCATTTTACTGAAGCTACTGCGTTTGCATTTGGTGGTGAAGGTAAGATATTTATTCCCTGTTAAATGGCATCATTCTTCTCTTGTTACATTTTCTTACGAGAGGAGTGGTGGCCCGTGGTGTACATCTCAAACTTTAGATCTAGAGGGTCCAGGTTAAGGCCTTGCTGCACTTTGTGCTGTTTCCTTGGACAAGAAACTTTGATTCACTGTCCCTCGCCATCCAGGTGTGTAAATGGGTGCTGGTTATGATCCTTTGTGATCCAGTTTTCAATCTGATCTTTTAAGATCTATTCTATGTTTGGACAATGATGTCTATGTTTGTGTAACTTGCTGTATTTTTTATACTAAATTATGCATAAAAAATTGATTGAAGAACAGTAGTTTAAGTAGTGTTTTCCTTTGGATAAAATACAAAAGGATAGTTAAATTCTATTAACATCCTAATGCATAAGCTGTTTTTTTGTTTGTTTGTCCTGTTTTTTTTTTTAATTTTTTAAATATGCTGATTTATATCTGCCTTTTAAAATCACTGTTACCATTTTCTGCCTACCTGTTTGCATGGTGAATAATATTGTTTATGTTGTCACATCTTGATCAACCCTGGCTGTGATGCTCACTGGTAGATCTGTTTGCATCTTGAATTTTTAATGATTTGTTGTTGTTTTTTCCAGGCCTTTTTGCTGCAGCACATGATCTTAAGATTGAATGGGTGATTGTAAAAGGTATT